AGTTCGACGTGACCAGCATAGTACTCGCCATCTATGCTCATCAAATGTTTAAAATAAGTGTAAACCACGATGTAGGTAAAACCTAGGTATTACCTATATCGTGGTGTAAACATAGGTGCGTATATAATGTATTTAAAATATAAATGTTAATAATTGTTTTAAATACCTACAACCTGTTGTGCAGGTGTTTTGTGCATTGTATAATAATTAATAGTTATGCAAAAAAGGTAGGTACACACGTATTAAACTTGGAGCGGTGTACTGATCGGGATCACGTATTTTATACATTGCGCTTTAAAAGTGATAATTTGAAGACAATTTCTTAAAACCCCTAAAATATTTTTTAAATTATGTGTTATAATTCATATAGTGTAGCGCCAACGCAAATTTTTCAATTTTTATTTTCGGAAACATGGTTAAATCAACGTTTTAGAATGATTGAGCAAAAATATTTCTGACACCCACCCATGGTGGTTTTACATAACAAGTCGATGGATGTTTTTGATTATAATTGACTGAGCGATCGCAGCCAGGTACGTCCGGTATATATGAAAATACCCAAAATTTAAATTACCTATAACTTTCAAATATGTCTGATCACCAAATTCAGACTTCAATGTCATTTTCAATTAAAAACTAATGATTTCCGGCAATTAATTTTTGCAATATCGTTATTAATTCGTTGTAACTTGTACTATCGCGATGGAGTGTTGTCCGACGATTTAATTTAATGGTTAAAACCGGTTTCTTTTTAGGCGCAAATGACGTTATCACTGGAAGTAAAAAGAGTGTTTCAATTTGCTGTTCTTCGTGGTAATTCACTTTGATCAATACCAAGAAAATAATGTGAAAATTCATAGACGCGCCAGCCAAATCTGACTTTGTTAGTATTTAGGTTTTAGAACTAAAATTTACTTTTGAAATTAAATATACTAATAAATTGTGCACGACAACATTTTTAGAAAATTTAAATAGTAAGTATGAAATATTATTTTATCGATCTTTAATGACTATGTACTGATTTTACAGCTAACAACAACTTCTTAGTTCTCACAAACTTAACCTCACTCCGATAATTGGTCGCTCATCTGTAGTGGATAAGCCGAAATCTACCCCACCTCGCTGTCTGCAGATCAAGACCTATAAATTTGTCAATTCGAAAGAGGTGTTCACTAAATATTATTTGCTACATAAAATAACACAATAAAAATGAAGACTTTTTTTCCATTTTAAATCGACGACACGACTCCGTGGGATCCCCTTATGCATTAATTCCGCGGTTTTAGCTATAACTAAAACGGATTCCTAAAATTTCACACACCTACTAAACCACGTATAGGGTTAAATAATATTTCAAATTAATAAAGAAATGATTATCGGATATCAACTCGTTCCAAGTATTTGACACCCTCACAAACAAAAATGATCTCTGTTGTAGCTGAATTGCCTATACAATGCGCCGTGTTAGCATCATTTTGTATTTCATTTTTTTTAAATATATTAAAACTATATTATTATTATATTATAATTTATGATTTACAGGAAAAATGATCAAAATGACAAAAATAAAGAACAGTAACGTCTTAACCGTGCTGAGTGTGCTGAGTCTAAATCAGGTAAACGAATTTTGGATAACAAAAAAAAATTATTTAGAAAAAATTATACAATCAGAACACATATCAAAGAGTTCAAACTACAATATTCAGATTCATAAACAGAAAAAAAAATATTGCCAATGATTAGCTCATTAAATAATGATAATACAAATAATACATTATCATACTTTAATGAGCTTATTCATTAAAGTATGATAATACAAAATGCACCTGAAGGTAATCAATAAACATGTCTGTGCAAAAAATTCAACTAGTCAAATTCCTAAAAAAAAAAATTGAAGGAGAGTGTTGGCGCCCGCAGGAAAATGCATTTTAGAAAAACAAAAAAAAATTAGAAAAAATCATACAATAGGAACACATATGAAGGGTTCAAAATAAAATGTCCAGAATCTTAAACAGAAAAAACAACTGACAATGTTTAACTCATTAAAGAATGATGATACAGAGGGCACCTGCTTGTTAACAATATTCAAGTCTATACAAAAAATTCAACTAGTCAAATTCCTAAAAAAAAATTTTAAGGGGATGTTGGCACCCGCGGGCAAATGCATTTTAGAAAACCAAAAAAAAATTTAGAAAAAATTATACAGTAGGAAAACAAATGAAAGAGCTCAAATTAAAAACCAACCAAATATGCGCTAAAGCCTAAGTTTTAAATATTCATAAATGTATGCAGTAAAATGTTGAAATTTACATGAAATAGGCACTCAAAAATAAACATAAAAGAAATTTATTTTCTGAATATTTAATTAAAATAATAAATTGAAAATTATAGAACGCTACTAAAAATATTTTTCTTTAAAATATATGTTTTACAGGTAGTTTCTAAATTTTAATCTGTAAGAAAAAAAAGTGCTCTGCTGTACAGTAGGACGTAGGGTCGTAGGTAACAAGTGGGTCACTGTATAATGAATGGTAACTATTAAATTTGAATTCAATGATATAATATCATTGTATAAGAATAACGATTCTGAGCGAAAAAGGTTAGGCAGCCTATGATATTACGAAGTATATTTTATGATACTAATGTGAATAAAGTAATTTATATATAACCTATTTACGTAGATTCTTGTTTTAAATTTTCAATCATTAGCTATAAAAGTTGAACATTTTATAAATTTTTAACTACAAAATTATTATTAAATTTTAAATGTGATAAATGTTGTCAAAATTTGAACTTTAAATGCTTATAAAAAAAAATTGTGCCTATGTATTTTTAATATTTTTCAAGTGCTATTGTAACAATATATCAGGAGCTTTGCATTAATGTAGTAAAAATATGAATTCCAAACACTCATAAAAATTTAATTTGAGTTTCTTGTAGACATTTTTTTTTGATACAGGTAAATATCTTTTAAGGAATCTTGTATTACATTTTAAAATCTTATATTTAAAAATAAAATTTTTTATGAATTCTTAACCAGTGGTTGAATTGGGGGGGGGGCGCGGGGGGACGGAGTCCAACTTTTTTTTTAAAAATATTTTAGCGTACCCCTTCTAATTTCAAGAATTGATAAGACATTTAAATGTTGGGGGGACGCACAAATGTTTTATACTTTTGCATACCCCTTCTATTTTTTTTCCAATTCAAGCACTGTTCTTAACTCAAAATAATTTGCTAGTTTTCGTGATTTTTCCATATTTTGTCAATTTTTGGACTTTAAATGCTTATAAAAAAAAAACTGTGACTAAGGATTTTTTAATATTTTTCATCTGCCTTTGAAAAAATATACTAGAAGCCCTCTATTAAAGTTTCAAGCTTTTTTGCCCAACAAATACAATTTTATTGACATTCATAAAAAAAAAAACTTAAAAAAGTTGGAAATTTAGTATGACCATAAAAACCTCAAAACTAGAAAATATTTTGAAAATTTTTTCATGTATAAAAAAGGGTAGGTGTCAGAATTATTTTTGCACCATAATTTTTAAAACGTTGATTTACCTAGGTTTAAAAAAAAAATAATTGAAAATTCGTTATAGGTAAGCGTGGTAAACCATAGTCTATAAGCGTTGTGCATGTGCGTATAAAACACCGTAAATCGTGAACTTCGCAAGGCTATGATACCATTAAAACTAATGATTTCTGGCAATCATTTTTGCACCATCATTCTTAACTGGTGGAGATACACTATAATACATGTTTCCAAATCAATCCCCCACCCCCTCCAAAGTTTCTGAGCACGCCTCTGCATTTACTTAAAAAACTATTTAATCATGAAGAATTTATTATATTTACATTTATTTTAAAAAGTAATAAGTTTATATTTATAAATTGAACTATGTATGTTGCTATATACATATTATATAGTTGTAATCATCATAATATATGATAATCAGTATACTTATGAACTATTAAAAAAATTTAGGCCAAAAAGAGCTTTAATATAATGTAAATATATTGTGACTTGTAAGGTAGGAGTGAGCACGTCACTTGCTATAGTTACATAAAAATTAGATGAGCATTGATCGACAATTTAGTCTAAATTTTAGTATTTACGCAACGATAAACTGTATTGGTGTGAAACATCCGTTTCACGTTGCTTGTGCGTCTGAGAGAAAACAAATATTGCGCCGACCTTAACTTAATCTAGCCTGCAAGCTGAGCACAAGCTTATGGTTGGCTTGTTGTGTTGGGTTTAGATTATACTCTAAATAATTATTTGTATCCAAATAACAGTTTAATGGTAAAGTGTGAGTTTTATCTCATATTGAACTTAAAATTCAAATTAATACCTACATTGGAAACTCATGTATTGTAGTAATGTGACTTCAGTATATACCTAATAAAAACTTTAAACATAAGTTATTATATAGGTCATTTTCAGCGGTAAAATCACGTCCACGGAAAACCAACAAAACGGCATCAAAAAGAGGTTTTAGAGTAAAAATACTTATTATGAAACTTATAGAGAACAATATTTTGAAGGGAACCTCATTGATCTTTTTCAAAATATTAACTATTAAAAAAGTTACAGTTATTTAAAGAAATTTAAAAAAAGGGTTTTTGTGCCTTTAATATCTAGCTGTGTATTTAGATTAATACAAAACCCCGATGAGGTTCCCTCCGAAATATTGTTCTCTATAAAATTTATTATAGGTATTTTTACTCTGAAACCACTTTTTAATGACTTTTCGTTTGTTTTTTCGACAGCATGTTTACGTCGTTAGATTTGACTTTTCATTGCCTTCTGCCTAGCTGTTTATAATTACATTTATAGAGCAAACTACTGATATTTGAAATATATGGCATAGATGCTAAACATCAACATTTTTGAATATACAGGTACAATACTAAAAACATAATAATTAAATTAAAAGATCAACAAATATATTAAAACTTCTTCATTAAGTAATACAATATATAAAATAATAATTTAAACTTAATCAGTGTTCATATGCTATTGAAGGAATATTAGATTTTAGTTTTGAATAACACAATGTAGCTTTGGCAAAATCCCAATTATTATCGACCAAGCACCTAGAAAAAAAAATATTTAAAAAAGTTAATAATATGTACCTTAATGATTTTACAAAATGGAATTTGAGAATAATTATTTTAGTTAAATTTTTCTTAGGAATGTGAATAATCAAATCTAAATGTATTTCAATAGGTAGCCGAACAATATTATATATACCAATTAATAAATATAAGACATGTATTTTACTTTTTTGACCATTTATTGTTCATTCCTGTCTCATTTGAAAACCTCTTGATCATTAACAATTCGTTATTGGTATTGTCAATATTACTGTCAGAATTTAAATGCATTTTGGTAGATGTTGTGAAGTATTCTGACTTTATTGGTTTTGTGTTGTTTACAGGAAATGATAATTTAGAATTGGACATGGGACATGATGAATTGAACTCTTGAGAGTTTAATAGGATACCAACTGTTTCTGCTGCAGGGGGATTCTGTTGCTGGTGAGATGACTGTAAGTTCTGTATGACAGATGTCTGAAAATTTGTTTGACAAGCTGAGGTTTGCTGTGGATTCCTAGGCAGTGACAATGGAGGGAGTTCTTTAGATAAAAAAGATGCTGATGATGGACATTTTGGTATGGATGTCTTGAAACCTAAAGTTGACAATACATCAGGCAATGTATCCTGTATTGTTGTTTGTAAACTGGTTCTATTATATGTATTATTCGTCATCGTTGGCTTAAAAATATAGAACCGTTTTGTTGATTCCTAAAAATGAACATTTAAAATAAACATTGTTACAAAAATTAGACAAAAAACAATTTACTTACTGCCATTAACTCGGAGGAGACTAATGTTACAAGCATCATGTCACTTAATATCACCCAACCATTTACAGCCGGCACTAAACTGAATGTCCTACAAAACGATCGAAATACTTGATAATTGTGGTTTTCATTATATTCTTCGGCAAACACACCGTTCACTACAACCTGTATTATTGTAGACTTTTGAAAAAAAAAAAAATTAGTTTTAACACTAAACTAAAACAAAAACTTAAATACTCACACTTGCAAATGGTACATCAATAATGAATGAGCCAAAGTCGTGTTTTGTTTTGGGTAAATTTTCTAAAATGCTTAATATATTTGCTTTACCTTTGTGTATAAAACTATTTATATTTTTGTTAAGGCCGGATATCAACAAATTTCGACTTTTTGGCAAGTAATCCGCTAGACTACCCTGGTTACTAAAATTCATAATAATATACACAATTAAAATATTAGAGTCCTGAATAATTTACGCAATAGGTTTTTCAAACATATACCATGTGTTTAGTAAACAACTAGATAATGAAAACGTCGCATTTTCATGGTAGGCTTCTAATACCATTTGTCTGGACATTTTATCATCATACTGTTCATAGTATTTTGTTAGGAATAATTCTACTAGAGTAATTAATGGATTTGATTGTATTAAGTTGCAGCCGTACTGTAGTATTGGGTAACTATTTCCCAGGTTGATTGGCATTTTCAACTTAGTACCAAAGTTTAACAAACAAGGCATATTTAAGTTATCCTGAAAAAAAGGAATAACATTACTCATCTGCATACACCCAAATTAAATATAAACATAATTATAAGATTTGTTTACCAGTGTTTTTGTTTTGTACATTCATTTTTTTTTTTATATATAATATGTCAAGTTAAGATTCAAACCAAGTAGATATTTTTTTTATAAATATCTCAGATTATAATTTGACAATACTTTTAGTCGAGCAGGGCCCGCTATGACTAAATATGACTGTATTATTAATAGTAAAATAAATTACAATGATATAAATATAAAAATATCATAAAATATACTTGGTAGTATAGGGGTCAGACCATCTTCGTTGATAAGAATCATTTTTTAAATGCAATAATTTTTGTATCATTAAATTCAAAGTCAAGACGAGGTACAACACCTACTGTACAGCAGAGTTACCTACTTTCCAACTATTTTTGATATTTTTCCATAAAAGTAATTTATTTTATTATTAGTAATATGGTAGATTAATTTAATTTATAGTCTAAAACATAATATATTATATTTATATAATTTATGATTGTTATCAACTTTTGGGTTATCACCGCCTTTCCGAAGATCGGTGTGTGTAGGTTCAAAGTATCAATAGGCAATTGCATAATATTAATCCAAAACATATTTTGATAATGAGTGTATATAAAATATAATAATATATGCAGTACTTTCAAGTCCTCATGAATATTATAGAATTACAGCAAAACGATTAAAATTGTTATTCATCCCTTAAATATCTAATTTCATCCAAATTTGAATTTCAAATATCTATAGAAAAAAAGTTGTGCTAATATGTTTTTTATATTTTTAAACTTTTTTAAGTTTCAGAATAAACAAACTTTTTTATTTCCAGATTTTTAGTGTATAATCTATAAATACTTTAAATTGTTATTTTTAGATGAGTAAGTCACTCAAATTCAAATGCTACATAGACACTAAAAAATGACATGGTCGGATCATATTTAGGATTTTGAACCAAGTGAGATGTGTTTACCTTAATCATATTATTCTTTTATCAGTATAATAGTTGTTTGCGTATAAGAAATGTTAAATAAGATGTAATACCATCGACTTTGAACTTACCAAATTGATTAACATAGGAAATAGTTTTTGAACATCCCTGAAACAATAATAATAACAACATATTATTATTTGTATGGTATACATGTAAGCAGATATAAATGGGACATATTAATCCACAACAACAAAACAGTAATACTAGGCAGTGATCTACTCTTTTTTTTAAGTTATCATTTTCAAAAATTAAAAATAATGTTCATAATAAAAGTGTTTCTAAACAAATTGTCTTTAACTTTTGACATTTGCCGTTCTACCATTACAACTTTACAGTGCCGGGATATACCATATACATATCATTATGGTAGTGAGGTCTTAGGACTTTACATCACTGGGGTATTAATAATATATAATCATAGTCTAAAAGGAATCGGACGTAAAACTGTGATGTATGTCATCATACATTTAAGCATTGATTATAAATACTATAAATTGCTCACTGGCCGGTTTTTCGGTGTCACAAAATAATTACTCCCGGTAGTTTTCAAGGTGACGTGACTACTAGCGATTACAATGTTACGCGTCATTACTTTATAGCCTATTATGTTCCTGGTACAAAACACATATTCTAAAAACCTAATATTCTTAACCCCCAATTCTACTAGCGAATGTAAGTTCCCACACGAGATATAGCAGGTAAAAATCACACCCAGGTATGTATGCGTAAGTTCCTACAAAAAAAAAATTACAATGAATACAAACTTCCTTCCCACTTTATTCAGACTTAGGACTGACAACTTGAATGTAGTTGGTGTGGTTAAAATTTATTTTCGTGTTGCATAAAAAAAGTCCAATCAATTTTTTAATTGAATCTAGTCCAGATATATAATAAAAATTAATAATATAAAGTGTAGGTATGGTCCACATTATTTGTATAGGTATAAAATAATAATAGTTATAATAATAGTAATAGAAAATATTAAATTTTATTTGGCTTATTGCGAAAGCTCAAACACTTCACATAGTCATACTGTGTAATTATTTTTAAGTTATAATTTGATATTTTGTTATTGATATAGTTCCTCCCCTAGTATTTGGGCTAGTTCTGATACAAGTCTTTCTACAAACGCTTGCAAAAGTACAAATAATATATGCACCATACCTACACATTATATTATTCATTTTTATTATATATTTGGGCCAACTACGTTTAAGTTGTCAGTCCGAAGTCTGAATAAATTGTGAGAACTTACGTACAGGTGTCATTTTTTTCGTGTGGGAACTTACGTACGGATGTATTTTTTTCCTTAAGGGAACTTACATATGTACCCGCTTAGCTTAAATGCTATGTTTCGTGTGAGAACTTACTAAACCCCGATTGTACGCTTATATAAATGCACATGTATATTGTTAGTACCTAAAGATCATTTTTAAATTTTATTCATATTAAAAGTTGGTTTATCACAATTTAAGTCAATAGTTTAATAAACCAACAAAATTAAGGCAATATAAAACATTGAAATATAATGTATTGTACACTTTTAAAAAATATTAACATAAAAAAAAAAATTTTGCGTTTATGGACAAAAATAACATAATTGCCTTGATTTATATTTGCTCACCGTCTGTAACACTCTTTGTCCATTGAATTGCATACTGGATTTCTGGACAAATTGAGCACTTCAACTGTATAACCTAAGAGACTCCTTAGTTCATTTAAATCAGACAACTGCAACAAAAATTATTTTAGCATATTTGTCCTATAAAAGTAAAAAATATAAGACATTACTTTGTTATCAGCTAAATCCAACACTTTTAGTTCAGGGAACAATCTACGTATCCATGTAAGTCCTTCACCTAAATATATGTAATTTTTGGCAAGATTCAAACAATACAAGTCATGCTTGGTATATTGAGCCGCCATATTAAGTGCTGCTAAAAGAACGGCTGGTCGATTTAATGGAACAAATAATTGATTATTGGTAAACACTAAAACAAAAATAAGCATTTTTTTAAAACAATAATAATTAACTTAATGTAAAATAAACTTTTACATACGTGAACAAGCATGAAATTGCGACAAATCTAAAATCTTGGTACTAGGATTGTAACGAGTCACCACGGCCTCCATCATTTTCTCTCTTACTTCACTGGATATTGGTGTGAATGATATAAGGTTTCGTTTGGGTATAAATGGTAAGACCTTAATAATTAACTAAATACAAATATTTTATGTTAAAATATATTATTTTTAAAACTCCATCACATATCTACAACTTACTTTTCGATCATCTCTTTGTGTTATCTTGTAGCTAGTATTGTGCAATGCTTTCGCAACTTTATAATCATCAACAAGAAATCTTAATGAATTATCGGAATATTGTTTCTATAAAATTAAAATATATATTGAGTATTAAACTGTATGACAAGTATAATATGAATAGAAATATTAGAAAGGGTAATTAATATAAAAATAGCATAGGTACATTGTATGGATAAAATGTTACTGGTGATATATGGATTTTAATTTTTTTCAATACTTCATCAAATTCTTCAGCATTTGTCACCTTGAAAACCAGACCAGTTATTATTCAAACATAATATTATACAATAAGTTTATTAAAAATTAAAACTTACATTTATTGAATACCAACCAGTTATACTTTCTGTTACAGTGCATGATGAGTTTTTTAAGTTGCTATAACCACCACGGCTACGATCCCTTTTATGAAAAAATATAAAATTCAATTTTAATAGGTAATCATTCGTATTTTTTTTTATATATAAATATTATGTTAATATATAAAATACTTAAAATTTTAATACCTTTGATGAATATTATTTCTAGATTGTCTATTATATTTTGAAAGTTCAACATCCAATTGATTTTGAACTAAACCAATTTTAGTATCCAAGTTTTTCCAAATAGTATTATCTCCACGGTTGTATGGTTTGAATGAAACATTTTGATTATAAGTTTGACGATATGGGTAGCATTCACCTTTTTGAATAATGTTAGGCTTTGAAGTACAATAATTTTTATGTTCACTATCTAAAAATTAGTGTCATAGATTGCATAAATATGTTATATTTATACGTGTCCTCGTATTTGGCACAGACTAAACATAGGTAAATTGTAAATACAATAAAGGACATCTCATTTGTATTTCGTAATAAACACAAATAATACAACATGGTTTATATACAAGATTAAAAATTAGTTCTAAGAACAAATTTTGAGTAGGTACTATTACTTTTTTAATTTATAAATTATAATGAATATAATATTGGTAGGTATGATGAATAAATTCCCTAGAATCTATATATGTATTCAAAAAACTTCTCGCGACCCACCAAGAATTGACTCACGACTCACAGTTTGAAAAACGCTGATCTATATAGTACCTATCTACCTCAGTAGTCAGTATCCACTAAAGTACACTTAGTAATGCTATACAGTACTAACAATAAAACATATGGTTCACAACAAACAAACACAATATTATTGTCAATTAATAATAATATTATAAGTATTAAAGGTTATTTTTTTAATAAATACCAAATCTATTTATCTTCCTATAATTTATAGGTAGGCCTAATAATACCTAATTTTATATAACGGACTGTACACAATGAAACTTCCATATTACAGTCTAATGGAGCATAATAAAAAATTTGTAATTGTACTATAGAGAATTTCGTTAAATATAATTGAATAAATTTGGTTCTGATTTGGTTTGGCTCTCAAAAATATTTTTTATAGTTTCACTATATTTCTATATAACCAGTGATTCCCAAAAACACGTCACAAATGCAGATAACATACTCCAGACTTTTCCCAGCATAGGATACTTTGTCAGTTGTATCAACTTATGAGTACTTAGCTGTTATTTTTACCAAAATTAATGAGCTTTAATTAGATATAAAATAATGTTCCATAGTAAAATTATGTTGGATCAGTGGCGCAACTATGGAGCCTCCCTCCAAGGTATAGGGTAATGTAGCCCCCAAAAATATTCCTTGTTGATATAGCTAATATAAGACGCCTATATATATTATCTTAAATTAATAGTTTTGTTAGGTAGGCTGAACCCCACCAATATTTAAACCCTAAAAAAATTGAATTTGCGGCTTCGAGTTGGATACATGGATATCAATGAGAACTAAATAAATATCGAAAATGTGACTTTCCAGGGAACCTTTTTAGTTTGATAGAGGTACAAAAACTTGTTGGGAACCTATTAAAATTTCTTATGTAAGCTATGAAAAGAAAAACTTTTATGAATTTTGTCAAAATTTGAACTTTATAAGCATCTAACAAATAATTGAGCCTATCTATTTTTAAACTTCCATTAATGGAAATCATAAGGAACCTATCATAACATTTTCAAGATTTTTTAGTAAATGAAAAAGATTTTATCGAGGATAATTTTTAAAAAAATTAGAAAAATTGAAAATTTCTCAAGGGATCAAGGCTATAACTAGCTCAAAATATTGAGAAAGTATTTTATGGAAAATTCTAAGATCAATACTTGTTGAAAATCTCAAGGTTCTACAGTTATTCATTTTTGAGATACCTACACCAAAAAAATAAAATAGATTTTTTAAAAAATTGGTTTTGTATAAAAGTCACCTATTTTTTTGTTTTTCTCAACGCTTTCTAAAACTACTTGAAATTTTTAATTTTGACTTCTCAAAAATACAAACTAGTTTTATTTTTCTATCAGTAAAGATGCTGATCTTGAAAATTAGAGCACTTTTACTACCCAAAATGCGCTTTACAAAACAAAAAAAAACACACATAATTGTAAAATTAATAAATTTTTCACTCCGCTCAGAATCTAGTATATTATTAATTAACCTTCCTGCTTCTTAAATTAGCAAATGTGTCAATAAAAATTTAAATATAAACATAAATTTTGATCAGTCAGCATTTTTTTTTCTATAAATATTATAGCTAAGTTGGTGCCTTTTTTTGAGACAGAGCGCTTTGTAGATTTTTTATAATTTTCAACTTAGAAAATTGAATTTTAATTTTATTAACTCGTTTAAAATGTAATACATTTATTTGACGACTGATGTCAATTAATATAAGTAGGTATAGCAGTATAATATGTAGTAAAATTGATAACAACAAATGTAGGTATACAAATATATAAATGATAAATTTTTTTTTCTCATTAACTTGACACTTTTATTGTACCTACAAAAGCGGGGCCTGTCTAACTGGTGAAGGCGCAGGGCCCTGGCCTAGGGACGGCACTATATTAGGTACCATTATAAGTTATAATATTTCATAGTCTGTTGAAAAATAACAAATATGAATATATTTATAGAAACTGTTAAATATATAGTAGATGGTAACCTCTAAGTAATAGATCACTTGTTAGTTTCTGTCTACTATAGCCCACCTCAAAAATTATTTCTTTATACGCCACTGTCTATTTATATGAAGTTATCAACCAATCAATCTCATTAATAATAATAATAAAATAGGTACCTATATCAAACGTTTTGTACTTTTGTTTTCAACAAATAACAAATTGTCAAGACTGGACAAGCTATTTGCCAGTGGGCCTACTGATTTCCAAGCATAAAAAACTAGGTAAAATATTAATTTTTTTTTTTGAAATTTTAACATAAAAAATGTATAAGTAGTAGTACATTTTATTTAGTAATATACTAGCATAAATTAATAGGTGTGGCTTGGCATGGAGCGTTGGTTGCTGCTAGTCGAGCAATACGATTGACAGTAAGTAACGCCCGCTGCTACCAGTTTCCAGATGGGTGATCACCCGGGTTCGTAGCAGTAAAAACCTTGCTACATACAAGTTCCTAACCAACCGTACTAACAGTTCCAACCTTACTGTACCAACCCTACCAACCTTACAGGCTAATGACCTCAGTCGTTAGATTTAATCTAATGGAAAAAAAATGAATGTATAATAAATTAAGTAATAATTAAGTAATAAATCAACAAAAAAAACATCAAAAGTCGACATTTGAATGAATGTTTAAAAATAACTCAACAATAATTGTTTATAGTTCATACTGTTTATTGTAGATTTTTCTGTGTCAATCTCGATGTTAATAGATTATATTGGATGGAATTAAGTATTTCTATAGGTACTATAATACTATTATTTCCTAATATTTGTTTTATATTTTCTCCACACTAATTAGTTGGGTACCTATTTACTTATTCCCGTACTTTTTTATCAGTATATAAATGTACACAATTCTAAAATGGGAACTGGTATTATTATTTAAATATTTATATTTTAGTATTTACTGTTATTTTAATACAACAACAAGAGCAAATCACAACAATAATATTGTTAGGCACTGCATAATGTGTTATGACTTATGATGTTAGTTTATGACGTATTATGGTATCCTTACATTTTCCCTCCGTTTTTTTTTGTTTTTTTATTCTTAATTATTTACCTTCGAATATAAAATTATTATTTTTAACACATATTTTTTAGATTTTCTTCATTTATTTTTTTATTTTTGTAAAAACTGTACGTTAACTAAAGTCTTTAATCTTAATTCAATAAAAAAAATAATAAATATTATTTAAAACAAGTTAAGTAAAAATATAATTTTAAATAAAAGATTGTCTAAATAATATAATATAGTACAATACAGCTGGCCAAAAAATCCGACATAAAAATAAAAAAGATTATATAAACAAAATATTATAATGAATTCATTTGATAAATTTGATGTTTCTATTGCGAAAAGTCTGGAAGGAGTTGTTACACTACCTTCACAATTTTTCTTTTTTTTTCCTCACACAGCCATTTTTTTGTTTTGTATACATATAGTCTTTAAAAACAGTTTTTAAACCTCCTCTGTCTGTTTTAGGAATTTGTATTTAATCCATGACCACAAAAAAAAAAATTTAAAACAAGAATTTTTATTTTAAAACGTATATAACCAATAAAACCACTAAACTGCTTTGAACAGTTTTGATATAAAATATTGACTCAATGCTCATGACGATGTAAGATTGTATAAGAAAGTTATGTGAATAGTCTTAGTAATTGACTGGGTTATGGACACAATTTTAGATTTCGATGTTACCCATCCAATTCAATATTATTATACTATACTATTTTACTTTTATTTAAAACTATATTTTTAATTAACTTGTTTTAAATATTATTTATTATTTTTTTATTGAAATTAAGAAAGATTTTTTAGTTAACATACCTACAGTTTTTACAAAAATAAAAAAATAAATATGAAGAAAAGCTAAAAAATATATGTTAAAAATAATAATTTTATATTCGAAGGTATATAATTAAAAAAAACGGGGGGGAATGTCTGCACCAAAAATGAATCGGGGGATTAATGTCCTACTACACCGAGAACAGCCGGGGGGGAAATGTCCGCCATTCAAGTATTATTACCTATAACTTTAAAGTTATAATTTGTATTACATTCTGTTAAGGTTTTGTGCGTTTTTCCATGTTTTCAGATGTGTTTTTTTAGGGGGGTGTAAACCAAATCGGAATAAATATATAACTTGAGTACACCAGATACAGATTACAGAGTAGGTATGACAAATATTTTTATAAAACCAGTACCTAGCGAACAAAATCTCGTTAATTTAAATTACGAAGAGACAAGAAACGAGTATAACCAAAATCGTTGAAAAGTCGATCTTAAGAATACAAAAATGTCAATTCTTTTAAAAAATTCTTATCGCTTCACCAGATCATCGGTTCATTGAAAAAAAGGCACGCTTAAATTACCATCAGCACGTGTGTTACACCAAGACAGAAAATCTGCACGCCTCTTCACATTTCACAAGAATATTATACCTACCTAGTCTTATAAAATAAACAACAACGATTTCGAGGGATCAAAACGGCACAAGGTGGAGATCGACCCCATGACCCAAGCCCCTTCGTTTTCCCCGTAACAACGTCTGCACAGGAAGTGCGCACACTAACCTGACTTCACATCAAATAAACCCTGAGGCTGCCCGTCTATCATTTACCCCCTTTGCCTGTGCTTAGTCAGTTAAACTCAATACTCACGTGAATGGACGTCGTTGTTCGAAAACGGTTCGCCGAGGTCGGCATCAAACCCTCTGGGGCCGCCGATATCGTGTCGGCTGCCGAGTTGGTCGATATCGTGTCGGCTGCCGCGATGGTCGATATCGTGTCGGTTGCCGCGGCGGTCGGTATAGGGTCGGTTGCCGCGGCGGTCGATATCTTGTCGGTTGCCGCGGCGGTCGATATCGTGTCGCTTGCCGCGGCGGTCGGTATAGGGTCGGTTGCCGCGGCGGTCGGTATAGGGTCCGCTGCGTCGGTCGATACCGCGTCGTCGACCACCGGCGATCGTTGTGTCGGCCATCACCGTCGTACCCAACTTCGTCAGTGCACGAAATGCGCACACGTGGAAAACGGGCCTCGGAAGTACGTAGAGCAACACATAAACACAGTATTGGCTATTGCATTAAACAATAAACAATAGACTTGTTTTTCTATGTCACTATGAACGGTGGTACGGACCGTAATGACGTGTGGTATCCGGTGCCCGGTAAAGTCATCCAGTACAGACCACAGATATAATCATATAACCGTATAACTGCTAACTGCGGTAGACGCGCACCGCGCCACCGCCGCACCGGTCACCGAGTCGAGCGAGGAGTCTATTGATAATAATGTTATAAATAAACAATAATCGGTATTGCCATTGCCATTGCATTGTCTTATTCTGTGGTATTGCCGTCTTGACGGAATTGTACGGGCGAGTGCAAGTCACGTGACAACTTATGAATAGTGGAGGGGGCGACGGTGACTCGCGATAATAATATATATCATGACAAAATTTATTTTCATCATGCCTATCTATTTTTTCATGATATAAAGCATCTGCTGGTGCCGCGCACTTCGTTGCCCGTACGAAATTACACAACTTTTAAAAAAATTCTGATTGTTTTCATATAATATTATTTTTCGACATGCAGCTATTGAGCTATATATACCTAAGTTGGCGTAAGCATGATTTTTAAATGAGGGAGAAGGGGCTTGGAAATTTTAATTTTATTCTGTCCAGTCTAATGATTTCAGACGTTTATTTTAAAATGTTTGTAACTTTTCAACTTTTCTGGTGGAAAAAATGCTCTGATCATAAGCTTCGACGCCCAGTGTATGTTTTTGGAAGCAAATTGGATCTAGTTGGTACTTTTAGGAGGTCGAAATTGAAAATGCTCAGTGCTTTTAAAAATAATTGGAGAAAAAAAAATGAAAATGTATTTAAAATGTTTGGTAACAAGCTTGGCTATACCGTCCTCACTTGGATTGTATTTGATTAATTAAAATTTTTTTTCTACAAATGTCAATAAAAAATTATTCTCCGTCTTACAAACGAGTAACATACCAAATTTACGCTCAGAAGTTTTATGCCGTCAGCTTAAAAATTAGAGCGAATCGGCCCATTAAGAAACTTGATGGTAAGAACATTATCTGTGTTTTTGGACGTATTTTTAAGTGAGTTATGAGCATTTTTAATTTACATTTATTATACACTCATAACTGATAACTCACTTAAAAACTGAATTATAGTAAAAATATTTCCAACAAAACACAGATAATGTTCTTACCATCACTGAAGCATTTAGGTGTGATGTAACAGAGTTAGTGCTCGTTTAAATGTTACAATCTTACAATCTTACACGACTTCAAGACCAGACTGTACGTTTAGGCCTTTAGGGCCGGTTGTTCGTTCGTCTACCTATCCACCAATTATTCACAGTTTGTTCACATCGTCTTGACGTCATCTATCAATTTATAAGTCGCTAGCGCATCGTTTATTTTAATTCATTCTTTTAAAAAAAAAAAATAAAATAAAAAAGTGAAAGAAGATTGTGGCAAACAAATTTAATGAAGTCTAGGGACATATTATTATGTACAGTGGATCAGATTTATTAAATTGTCTTCGGGAACAGGAAAAAAGTGGACAGTACAGAAATTTCATTAGAATGTAGTCCAACGATTTTTGGCGACTGGTGAATCATATCAAAGTTTACAGTACCATTTTAAATGTCAAAACAAGTTAACGAACAGATTGTTCTCAAGGTGGCGAAGTATGCTAAGCAATTGTGAAAGCTTTAAAAGAAAATATACAGGTATTAAACATGCTAAGTATGTGATAATTTTGAATTATATTTTAACACTTTTTAAAGAATTTAACATAATTTAAAAACAAATCAAATATAAATAATTTTTTCCTGTTTAATTTTTATTCGCACTAATAATAAAAATAAAAAGGTGCTCTACTGTACAGTAGGTTACAGGTGGGTCACTGCAGTATAATGGATGGTATTAAATTTGAATTCAGTGATATAAATATATAATATCATTGTATAAGAAAAACGATTCTAAGCGAAAAGTTTTAGAGTTACACCAAAAAAATTCCCGTTTTTCCTTAATTTTTTTGATGTTTTTCCCGGCGCTTGTGAAAACTATTGGGAATATTAAAATTTGACCTTTTGAATGCACCAACTATATAGATTCACTTTCCCAAGGAACAAGATACTGTTGAAGAAAATCGAAGCAGTGTTACTGCCCCGAACCGTGATGACAGACACAAAAATAAAAAATAAAAGGTGGGTAAGTGGATGTCGCTCTGCTGTACAGTAGGTTACAAGTGGGTCACTGTATAATGGATGGTATTAAATTTGAATTCAATGATACAATATCATTGTATAAGAAAAACGATTCTGAGCGAAGACGGTATGTCAGTCTAGGTTTAAGACATTATATATATATATCTATGGTATTAAATTATATGGAATTTATGAATAAATTCCTTAAAATATGCACAGTCTTATCATGAGCATACTTCTTATTCCTTATACTATGATAGATTGTATGGATAGGCCACAATATTTTGATTTTTCAGTTTCATATATCCCCGAATAATATTTTTAAATTGCAACAAAAACAAAGATCGTTAATATTGATTTTAATACCTATGTAATTTCGTCCAAATTTGAACTTAAAATGTCTGTAAAAAATAACTGTGTTCATATATTTTTTAGATTTTTTGGTTACAGTATGAACTATTTATAAGAACCTTTGTTTTAAATTTGCAATCCTTAGCTATAAAAACTGAACATTTTATAATTTATTAATTACAATGATTGATAATTTTCGAGATTTTGATAAATTTTGTCAAAATTCGATGTTTAAATGCTTATAAAAAAAAATTGTGCCTATGTATTTTTAATATTTTTCAATTTCTATTGTAACAATATATCAGGAGCCTTGTATTAAATTTTTACACTTTTTGGCCTAACAGATAAAACTTTATTGATATTTATAGAAAAAAAAACTAAAAAAATTGAAAACTGAAAATGTCCGTAAACAACTCAAAAAGAGTCGAAATATTTTCAAAATTGTACAGTGTATAGGAAATGCTAATCTGAACATTCAGTGAAATTTTCATGTATCTACAGTTATTCGTTTTTGAATTACAACAAAATAAGGAAATCGCTACATGAGAAATCGAGTGAATATCCAATGTTGTAAAAATTTGAATTTCAAACGCTCATAAAAATTTAATTTGACTGTCCAGTAGAGATTTTTTATTGATAAAGGTAGACAAACTTATGAGTAATCTTGTATTACATTTTCATATCTTAGATTTAAAAACAAAAATTTTTATGAATTTCAAACTCGAAATAATTTGCAAATTTTCTTGATTTTTCCATATTTTGTCATTTTTTGAACTTTAAATGCTTAAAAAAAATACTATGACTTACGATTTTTAATATTTTTCATCTGTCATTGAAACAATATAGTAGGAGGCTTGTATTAAATTTTCAAGTATTTTTACTCAACAAATAAATTTTTATTGATATTCATAAAAATAAAAACTAATAAAATTGGAAACTGAAAATGTCCCTAAACAGTTCAAAATAAATCAAAATATTTTGAAAATGTTATCGTGTATAGAAAATGCAAATATAAACAACCACTGAAAATTTCATGTATCTACGGTCATTTGTTTTAAAGTTACACCAAAAACCAAAATCGATTTTCTCGAAAACAGATTTTGCGTAAAAATTCCCGTTTTTCCTTAATTTTTCTTTTGTTTTTCTTGGCGCTTTTGAAAAGTACTGGGAATTTTAAATTTTGACCTCCCCAATGCACCAACGATATTCACTTTCCAATTGAACAAGATACTGAAGTCGAAAATCGAAGCATTATTTCTTGTTGGCAGCCAAGACGGCGCAATGCACTACAACAACTTCCGGCCGATTACGGTTCACTGTTCAGTGCTCTGGACGGAGCAAGAGGATGTGCGGGGCTGCCATGATTACGGCATGCAGAGGCCGCAGGATCAGGAAACAGCAAATTAACGAGTCTGAAAATCAGCCTTTGCCAAAGGACCACGATCACGGAAAAGCTGCTCGCGTCCGTGTAAACGGCTCGTGTTCGTTCTGCACTTCTGCAGCGGGAACATTGAACAACTTATGAGTTATGACCAACCTTGCATTTAATTCTCCAACTTCTTGACAGAGCGAAAATATCGAGTATTATCGACATGTAAAGTACAAAAAATTATATTATGAAATGGAAAACGTCATAATAATATGTCTAAAATAGCTCAAAAAGCATAAAAAAATTTAGTGAATATTTTAATTAGGTAGGTATTTACTGTTTTCTATATTTTCTAGTTTTCTACTTACCTATACGGCTATACACCGAAAAAACAATATCGATTTAGTCGAAAACTGGCGTTACATAAAAATTCCCGAATTACATATTTTGATGAATTGTATATTTGTATTAAGTAAATGCTTTAATTTGACATATTTTGTAATTTGATAAAAATATAATATTTTATTCTAACCTTAGAATTTAAAATATTAAGGGGATTCGATCCGGTGATTTAATAAGGGGTCGTGTATAGGCAATTCGATGTATTATAGTCGTTTCGCAGTGTGTTTGTGTGCGAAGTAAATGATCATTAGTGTGCGTAGATACGTTCGGAATCAGTGGTTCGCACCCGCATGCACATGTCACATAATAAAATATTTGTTCCAACGAGAAACTAATTTCAATCAATTGAGACCTAAAAGCCTGACAAAAATACGATAACTTAGAATGATCGGATTTTAGTTCTGTAAACATATTTGAATTCATCGTTCTTTTTTCTAGGTTATTGTGGGAGTCGATTTTTGAATAACTGTTTAACTTTTTAAAGAAAGACACAAACAATTTTCAAAAAATTGAGAAATCGATATATGATTTAACGTGAATTCTAAAAAAAATATCGAAAATTGATTCCCACAATAACCTAGGAAAATTGTCAATGAACTCGAATCTTTTTACAGAATTGAAATCTGATAATTCTAAGTAGGCGTATTTTTGTCAGGCTTTTAGGTCTAAATCATGAAATAAATACGCTGGATCGAATCCCCTTAATAAATTATGTAGTTATTCTTACTTGTTTCAGCTTTTATTTACCTACCTACTTTTAATTCTTATACAATGTTGACAATAGCATGGTAGATGCATAGAACCTAAAATTAATTTACTTAAATTTAACTTAAGACAGAAACAATAACTCTTGTTCACATACTGCTTCCACTAAACACTTCGTCAAAATAGGTATCACTTTTCAGATATAAGTAATAAAAGAGTAAATAATAGTAATAAATAATGTTTTAGTTTCTGACTAGTGGGTGAGTGCCGTTTGGTAACCCGTAACTACTAGCTATAGGCTAATATTAAGACTAAAATATTTTTTGTATGAACTAGACCGACTAGGCAAGTTTAATATAATATAATTTAAATATTTATTATACATTATAGTCATATATTAAGTGTGGTATACATTTTTACTGAGAAAATTCTGTACAAATGATCATAATAAGTAAATTATATGATAGAATATTTGTTATGATCACTATTTGTACATAAAAAAGTAGTTTAATTTGCCATTACATGAATTTTTGTTTCAGAAATTCTCTGTAGATATTTTTAAACATATTCCCTGAATTTTTTCAAAATCAGTTAAGTATTTTTTTTTGACCTTATACCTATAAGCCTCAAAAAATAATACTTTCAATAATCAGTACACTGGGTTTTATATAATATAATATAATATAGCTGTTACCCGTTCCTTCTATTATAATACTCCTACGGCCTGTTCAGGATCTCAAATAATATATGACTTGTGCAAAGTTGGGGAGGGGGGTTGGCTCATTTTTGAGTTCGAGGTTCAATTAAATCTATTTGCATGAAGCGTTGGCTTATTTTTGCTACAACGACTTATATGGAATTATTTGTCTACTAAATGTCTAAATACAAATCTAATATAAAATGTTATAAATGTAAAAAAGGTATAACTTATAGTTTAGGCTCTATGTTGATTATATGTCAGTAAACATAGTTAGTCAGTCAAAATAATCATATTTATCATGATCCCATATAGATATAATATATGTATAGCCATATAAGTACTTCAAGATTATTGGAATTTACTTTTAATTATTTTATATTGATGTACCATATATTGATATATAATATGCATTCAGCACTATTGTAACCGTCAGTTAACATGCGCAGAACTGAGTATTGTTTTTTCGGAATTATAGGTTGTGTTTGTGAAATGTTAATGTTCCATTTGTCTGTTAAACTATTACACTTCATGTTTTATTACACCTCACACTTAATACATTACTATTATATATATTTTTTTTATTTACACAACTCCTATTAGTACCTAATATACTTTTAGCATACAAATTTAATATTTATGATGCACAAAATATGTCAAACCTACCTAATGATGTATTAAGGTCAATGTTATTGTGTCTAACTAATAAATAATTAAAATCCATAAATATCAAATACATTTAACTTAAACACAAAAAATACAGTTATGTACACAATTTCAGTCTACCCACTCTTGGGAAACTGAAAAAAAATTTCGGCTTAAATATTGAAAAATAAAAAATGTTTATTAATATAGGCCATTAATAGCTATTTTCAGCTATGGAATTATACCTTTATTCTCAGTTGACCTAGGTACTATTGATCTTCTATTAGTTCAATTTGTCAGTTTTTACATGAATATTTGGAACTTTGATAACAAATATTGGTACATATATGCAATATTTATATACATATTAATTTTTATAGGTGCTTATTAATACTTCTTAAATAGTAAAAATGATCAATCGCTTAAATAAAAAATACAGTAAATAGTTAATAGTAAATTTATCCCTAACATTATTTATTTTTATTTATGTATTGTGTAATTTGTTTTGCTTGGTTCGCACACATAAAGCTTGATACAACGTTTGGTGTTAATAATGTTTGAATATATCTTGTGTATGTTGAACGGACTATATGACCTGAAATCATTATGAATAAAATGTAGATAAAATTAATCAAGTAGATAAAATTACATTTTAAATAATCAATTTTAACTCTCTTCACCCGCAATCACAATTTCAAATTAATTACTGAAGTATTATCCATAAAATGTTTATTTTAACCAAATTGAATTTAAACAGTTATTATTTTGCGCCTAGATTATGATGAATAAATTATTATTCTGTGTAAAAAGTATGGTTATGATCCAGCAATAAATTCATTAAAAATAAAGATGTTTGATATTTCATTGAATTAGACATAAGTAAGCTATCTTCATCGAAAATATTTGAAATTAAATTAAAGTAGATAACTAGTATGATTTTAGTCAACAAAAACGATAAATCAATTATAAAGGTAATTATAATATGTTTAATCTTATTTTCTACCTATAATATTTCTAAATTTGTCAAAATGAATAATACTGTACATTGAACTGAGAGTTTAATTCTTTCAACCATAATATATTTAATTAAAAAATTATATATTAATAAGAAACCAGATCTTGATAGTAAAATAAAGGCGCAATAGTGCCATTTGGTAAGTGTTCATATCCACTAGTGTACATCGATACAAACAATGAAGATATATTATGTCCACATTTCTATTTTGAAAACTATATTGCAAAAATAATTTTAAATAGAATTTTCAACAATATAAAATGTACATTATATCATACTAACCGTGTTCCTGTTTAAAACTAATCCACAACTTAGAAATATTGGGTTGGCCTAGATTTTTCTTGGCACATTTGGAAATCATCTAATGAAAAAAACAAGAAAATATATTAACATTATTTTAAACTAGTATTAATTACCTATCAGCCAGATTTAAAACAGTCAACTCACATTAGGAGACCTCAAGATGCTAAATAAATGCTCTTTTATCGCAACTTGTGTTTGGTCAGATATAGTCAATCGATTACTATGTTTACCACGGCCATCAACAGGTGTATTATGACCTAATTTCATCTTCATGCACAATGTTCGTACCACCGTTGGAGTTGTGTCGTGCAGGATGACAAATGCGCTTTTGCACACAGATTGATTCACTCCGTTATGCTTAAATGCATATTGGAAACATTTTGAAGACTTGACAATTTTAGTGGCGTTTATCTTGTTTCTGTTGATGGAGATCATCGCGAACAGATAAATGTCCTTTTCAAATTTTTGCAGCAGTGACATTTCGGTCTTAAAACGTGTCTTAAACTCGTCGTCAAACATCAACAGGCATTTGTTTGTACAGCAACTACCTCCGGGTTTGGTCTTGGGCGATGGCGGATTGTCGTACTCCGCGTCCTTGCCATCCTCTTCCGAGTCATAGTCGTCGAGATTCTTCGCAGTGGCTATTTTCTCGACCGAGGAAATTATTGCTAGACGGCGCATTATAAATTAAATATAATTTGTCATGAGATGGCGAAGCGAAACGACAAGAAAATGACTAAATATGAGTATCCACGGACCACGAATTAAGATGTTTATTTATATCTATAAATATCTTAATTCGTGGTTGTAACTCATCATTTTACCCGCTACATTTTTTGGGACGTGGACGTTTTGTTCAAACCGACTGTTGAACGTGACGTCATATTGGTCGAATGAAACCGTGGCTAAGTATTTGGCCATGATTCATGAATGGATCATGAAACCACGTAGGTATTTAAAAAAAAAAAACAATATATTTATAGGAATTTGTAGCTTAATATTGCTAATATCTTTAATCGTGGTAAAATTGAGACCAGACAGACGACAGTAATAGTAAATAAAAACCAGAAAGTAAAAGAAAACGGTTTATAATTTATATCACTAGAAAAAAAACGGTTTATATCACTTTCATGGATGAAATTATCATATCAGTTTGGCTTGGAATAAACAACAAATAACATTTATCACTGGCCGCCGAATTTAAAAATATTTAAATTTTTAATATCATATTACTATAATATTTAAAATACAAATACAATTTCACAACTGGGCCGTATTTTTTTTTTATTTACCGAAATTTTTTTAATATATTTCCAATCATATTGTGTACTACTTCACTTAGTATATTTATTAGGCAGTGGTATTACTTATGTGTTTAGGTAGTTGCAGGTAAGCATAATATAAGATTGTTAGTTTATTATTCATTATTATTCTCCTAGAGTCTAGACTCTACGCCATACATGTCAACTTATTGAACTTAAATAAACAATCTTAGGTACATATAACGATTCATTATTTGAATAATTAACCCGTTACCCGTAAGTGGTATGGTCTGGCCCCATAGACTTAAACTGAATATGCTCGTAAAGATAACATTTATGAAGTATTAAAGATTAATTAATTACATGGTGATTTATCACCACGTTTTTGAGTAAAAATGAAAATGAAAAATCAATATTTACAACAGATTAGAACAGGGGCGGAATTAGGGGGGGTTGGTCAGCGGGATAGACCCCCCAAAAAGTTTTTTTTACTGCTAACTTTTTGATCAAAGTATTGATAATGACCATTCATGTTTGCTAAAAACGTATATCCCCCCCCCCCAAACCAAATTCCTAAGTACGCCACTGGATTAGAATGTTCGTACGAATATTGTTCTATAAAACGAACATGACGTTCATTACTTAGTAACATTAGTCACAAACACAATATTGAGTATTTGGTATTTACTATTTCGGTCTATTGCCGATTTGCCCACCCACCAGTGTCCAGTATACCTACCGACCAAAGTGTCAAATAGAATAAAAATAAAAACCCTGACGGCTGAGGGGTAATTCCGTCAAATTACGTGCTATGTAACTATTAACTACCAACGGTTCAGTTTATCAGTGAATTAGCCGCGACCGCAGTCCTCACTCCTCGCGCCACAACCCATTCCCATAGATAAAGTGACAAATGACAATACAGAAAACAACTAACACAGCCACACGCCCACACAGGGCGCAGACCGCGGTACCGGCGAGCGTAGCGTATGCACTATGCAGAAATTCAGTTATGGCAGTTAGTATTTTTGTCTATGGTTATGCACAATGCAGTATGCACTGCTGCAAGTTGCAACACACTAATGTTGTCACATGAATATTTAATATTAATACACCATTACACAAGATATTCGGATCAAATACTGAACTTGAGACCTACACGGCTACACACCATATGGCTATATAGTATATATACCTACATGTTTATTATAATTTTAAGTTTTAAAAGTTAATAATTACACGACTGTTATACGTAATCACGTGCCTAAGTTAATAGTTTGGAGAGCTGCATAATAAAACGTGTAAGTAGTAAGTACATAATATTGTATAGGTACTATAATAATGATCTTAATATATAATATGGTTTTAAGTAAATATTGTACATGTGTACATACCTATAAAATGCCTACCAATTATTACCTAGATGGGTGTTTTTGATAAAAATAATTAAATTAATTTGTTGACAGTGATAAAATAACTAATCATAAGTGTGACTTTTCGCTAGTCGCTCTACGCTTATAAAAAATATATTACATAATATTATATTATGACAATGACTCACACCAGTCACACCTGCAAATTGCAATCACACCTAACTAATTACTAAATAAATATATTCAGTAGGTACCTATCTATTTTATTATTTTTATTTAATTGATTTTGTTACAGTTTGTTTGATGGATAGAATGCTGTAATAATCATCAATATTAGAGAAGTAATGAATAATATTTTTAAACGCTATATTGATGCAATGAAGTTCCTTAATCCTTACTAAATGAAAATAAACACTACCAGGGTAAGTAATTTAAATTAAATATTTATAATTGTTGTTTAGATTAATCACATTTTAATTTAGATTTGTTTGAATATGAGATCGTTGGTCAAAACACTTAAATACCAAAAATAATTGTGCAGCATCTGATAGTTGCTTTTGGTGAAGTGGATTGGATTAATGCTCACAATATTTATGTTGGATATATAATGACAATACAAAATAGTATAGTAAGTTTATATATAGACTATATTATATTTATGTTTAAGAGTTAAGCATTATAAATTAGCCATAACTACAATTTAACCTGTTACAGTGTGTAGTGTCCTAAGCTTGTACCTAATAATAACTAGATAAATACATTCAATATTATCTTCACAATTTGGAGGCAACAAAAGAAATTAATGTTCTATTAACAATTTCTATTTTTGAGTAGAAGGTTTTTAGTATTTTGTATTTTAAAATTACTTTACTACTACCATAGGCGTGTTCAGACTTTGGTAGCCGAGGGGGCACAGCAAATTTTTAAATTGTAAGACCTATTTTTTTTTAGACATGAAGAAACATTAATTTTTCATGTTATAAAATTCACAATGGTAGGAATATTTTTTAATTATGATAAAAAAGTATAACCATTGTCAAAACAATAAAAATATATTTAAAACTAAATTAAAAACAGATACATAATACATTGTTGATATAATTTATTGAAATAAAGTGCTTATAAATCCATTCGTCTATTATATGGTTTTAATACTTTAAAAGTCTCAATGACATCATCAATATTTCTTGCCAATTCTTGCTCGATACTGATGGTTAATAAATCATCCAGGCGATCTTGATTCATAGTGCTCCTCAGTTTGGTTTTTTGGTTTTTATAAAACTTAGTTTAGAAAATGTCCGTTCACACGAACAGCTTGTAACTGGTATAGTTACGAATATTTTAAAGGCTTTGAATACATTTGAAAATAAATCCTCTCTACCATGAACTGTAAGCCACTTAATCCATTCACCACTAAAAAAATTACAATCAAAATCTATGGGTATTAGGTACTAGGGTATACACCACACAAATTTTTTTTATCCTGACATGATTTTATTGGAGGCACAGTCGGCCGGGGGGGCCAGTGCCCACCCGGCCCCTCCCGTAAACATGCCTATGACTACTACCAAAATATATTGTAAAAATAAATAAATATCTATGAGTTTAGTTATTTAGATTCAAATCGTGCAAACTGCACTATGGATTGAAATTATAAGTATTAATCTGAATGTTGTTGTTATTGTTCATTAACTGTATGGTGTAGTCACCACCCATGGCCACCTTAAGATTTTTTTCTGTTGATTTATTCAATTTATTTATTTAATTTATTCTATATATTCTTTAGATTAATACCTACATAACTGTGATAAATGATACAAGTAGATTAATGAAATTATTAAATGCAAACAAATATGACAGAAACTTTTATTAAAAAAACAAATTACGTAATCTGAATAAATATATAAATAAAATCAACAACTTTTTAACAATATTATAAAATTAATAATCAACACTTGGTCATATTTAAGAGATAGATCTATGGGTTTTAAAATAGAGTTTCATCAATACCACCTATATAAATTCAGAAGTACACATTTTTAATTCTTAAAGATTTTGTTAAGCGATGAATGGAAAAGTGACAAACAAGATATTGAAAAATATTATAACCATGTTCTCAACTGTTTTTGTTAATACTTTTTATCACCCATTTAATACATTGGTGTTGATGAATACAACAATAACCATAGTGTCAAAAAAACTAAAAAATTACACTATTTTCAAATAAAATATAAATGACTGACCATAGAAGGGGTAGTGGCTATAGGTGGCGACTCCACCATACAAAAATAATATTATACTTTGTTATAAGTTCTTAGAACTTCTGAAACAAACAATAATTATTAATTAGTATAAGTTATAAGTATTAGCTATAAGTGTGTGACTCTGTATGGTGAAGATTTTCGTAAATTTCAAAACAACACCTGGTTAAATGGAACTGTGATTGACGCACTGCTATTGACTTATGTGAATAATGAAATTGGTTATATTCCTGCGGAAATAAGCAATACAATTTGGTCAAGTACCAAAGTTAAAATAGCCAAATTTGATTGGACTAAATACTGTGTGTTATTTCTACCTATCAATCCTGAAGGTAATCATTGGACTTTATTTATTATGGACTTCATTTTGGGTTGTGTATTTTACTTGGATCCTCTGCGTCCAGAATCAGGTGACTTGTACTTACCTCGATTAAAAAAAATGATGTTTTCAATGTGTGGTAATGAAAAAGCAAAATATTTGCTGCATAAAATGGTTCTTAAAAATATTGAGTATCCTTTACAGAATGATAGTAACAGTTGTGGAGTGTTTGTGTTGTATTATTGTAGTACATACAATCCAATGTTTACTCAGAGCTTTTCAAAGGAAGTTAATGTGAGTGATTTAAGAAATACATTGCAGCATCAATGTTTAATGTACTCTGATAATATCAGTGAAAGATGCCTTATGTGTGCACAAAATATAAAAGTAAGTTTTACTTGGATTAAGTGCTTTACATGTGACCGAAGAGTTCTTAATGTGTGTGTAGGTGGTGTATGCTACAAATTTATGACTAAAGAATTAAAAAATGAAAACTTCACTTGTATCTTATGCAATAAGTATATTAATTAAGTACCTATTTAATAATTACAAACTAATAAAGTACAAAATAAAAAATAATATGAAATAAAGATAAACAAACTAATACAATACCTATTGTAAATAATGAAAGGTTGGTTATATAAGTTGGGTGTAATTTATAAATTACACGTAGAGTAAAATGGAATCTATTACCTAACATAAAATT